GCACCCCTATGCCCTCAGAGGACAACGCCCCACTTCTCCACGCCCGGGGCCCGCCTCCACGATTGCCCAGTCTCGGTTTCCTCTACCCCATCTACGGCATCCCATACCTGATCGCCCACAAGGCCCTCCACCCACCGCTCCGCTCACGCATCGTCCCGCTCACCCTACTATCGCTGGTCGTCTTTTTCATTCTTTTCTTCTTCCTCTACCTCCCCCATGTTTTGGTCCTCTCATTCTTCCACGGCCCGCTCGCCTGGGTGAATGCCGCCTTCATGATTCTCTCGGAGGGCGCCACGCTCATCGCTATCATCGCCGAAGCCTTCATGACGGAGCCGCAGCTCATCGACACCTTTGACACCATCTTTGTTAGCAACGGTTTCTCCTACCTCGTGCGACGGTGCCGCGTGGTCGGGCCAGACGGACAACTCGGGGAGCACAAGGTGTATCCATACCTCAAGTGGCAGCAGAGCGGGAGGATGACGTTTTGGTACATTTTGGAGCTGCCGCTGAACTTTATCCCCGTGATCGGGTGGCCGTTGTTTCTGAGCTTGCAGGCGTGGCATTTGGGGCGGTGGCAGCAGCTGCGGTATTGGCAGTTGCTGGGCTATGGCGAGAAGGAGAGGGCGATGATGGTCAAGAGGAATAGAGCGGGGTACTGGCTGTTTGGCCTTGTCCATGTGCTGTTGCAGCTGGTCCCGGTGTTGAGCATCTTTTTCCTGTTCAGTACAACAACCGGTGCAGGTCTCTGGGCACTCGAGGCGGAGAGGAGAAAGGTCAAGATTGGATATGGCGAAGAAGATAGGGAAGTCGAGCCTGAAAGAGAGGATGAAGAGTTGGTTCCTCCAGTTCCGGGCTGGATCATGAGGTGGTTGCCATGGAAGCGGTGATCTAGTAGCATGGGATTGGCGTTAGTTAGACAAGTGTTAATTTGGTTTATTATAAGTTTCGGATAACTTTTTATGATAATGTTTTGTTTTAAATTTATTCTCACTCCCACTCACGCTCCGAGTCTGGTCTGATTCTCCCTGGGCTTGTCGTGATCTCCATCCGGACAACAGGTGACACTTGGTGACGCTTGGCAGGATTCTGGTATCTCCAAAAAATGCCTTCTTTTCCGACAGCTCTCCCCATCCACCACACCCCAAACACCCCGCGCTGTCGTCTCCAGCATTCACCAGCATCCTTCAACCTTCCTGCAGCTCCTCCGTCCTCAGCGAGCCTTCTATCCCTGTCAATCGCCCCCTGGAGGAGTCGTCACCATGCGGCTTCCTCACAGCTTCACCCTGCTCTCGACCTTCACCACCCTGTCCTCCGCCTTCTACATCCCAGGTGCGTGTCCGCCCCGCCGCGCCTACTCTCATCGCTGATCCTTCCCAGGGTGGTCAATACGCACCTACAAAGACAACGACCCTATCCCGCTGCAAACCAACAAAATCTCCTCCCCCCTGACCCAGCTCCCATACGCCTACTCGGAGCTCCCCTTCGTCTGTCCGGCCAAGAAAGACGGCTTCGGGTCCCGCTTCGGGTCCCGTCATGTCGGCCTCAACATTGGTGAAGTCCTGCGTGGAGACAGGAGGGAAATATCAGACTACCAGTTGTTCATGGGGAAGGATGTCGTCTGCGCGCATCTCTGTGATGCCGAAATGGATGCAGGAACGGCAGCCACGGCTAGGAGGTTAGTGCAGGAGGGTTATGTCGCGGAGTGGATTGTCGATAATCTTCCCGGGGCGACAAAATTTGTGGCTCTGGATAAGAAGAAGACGTATTATGCTGCTGGGTTCAAGTTAGGGTATAACGAGGCGGATGTGAGTGTGCTACCCGGGCTACCGGAGATGAAGCTGATCCGGGATTTCAGAAAGCGTATCTCAACAATCATGTCACTTTTGTCCTGAGATGGAGAAAATACAATGGCGATAATAACAAGAAGGTTATTGTTGCATTCGAGGTTTACACAAAGTCGATTGCTGGGCATCAGGGGAAATGTCCGGAATCACTCGACGATCAGCCGCCGTTGGAACTCGCCTTACCCCAGGTTCCGGACCCCAGCAGCGCCGATCCGGAGCGCACAATTGACGACCCGGACGGAAAGATAATTATCCCATATACATACTCTGTATACTGGAAAGAGGACAATTCGATTGAGTGGGCCAATCGCTGGGATCTTTACTTTGTGAATGACGACGAATCTGTATCCGTCCACTGGCTCGCCATCATAAACTCCCTGGTAATCGCCTTCCTCCTCACCATTGTCGTCGCCATCGTCATGCTTCGCACCCTCTCCCGGGATATCCACAACTACACCGACCTAGACCCGGAAACCAAATCGCAACCCAGCAGCAGCAACAGTGGCAACCTCCTCGAGTCCGCCGACGACCTCGATGACACCCCCGGCTGGAAACTCCTCCACGGCGACGTCTTCCGTCCCCCTCCCCTCGGCGGCCTCTTTGCCCCCCTCATCGGCTCCGGCATCCAACTCCTGGTCGTGATAATCTCCCTCCTCCTCCTCTCCGCCACCGGCATCCTCAACCCCTCCTACCGTGGCGGCTTCCTCTCCTTTTCCATCTTCCTCTTCGTCTTTGCTGGCCTCATCGCCGGCTACGTCTCCACGCGCGTGTACAAAACCTTCTCTGGCACGAACTGGAAGAAAAACGCGCTCCTGACCGCCACCATCTTCCCGGGCTTCGTCTTCTCCACCGTCTTTGCTCTCAACATCTTCATGTGGGTCCAAGAATCCTCCTCCGCAATCCCCTTCACAACAATCCTCGCCCTGCTTTTCCTCTGGGCCGGAATCCAATCCCCCCTTGTCTACGCCGGCGCCTCCATCGGCTTCCGCGCAGCGCCATGGGAACCGCCCACGAGAACAACACAAATCCCGCGCCAGCCCCCGAGCCCGGAAACGGTGAAATGGTACCTCCGCCCGCTCCCGCTCACGCTCCTCTCCGGCCTCATCCCCTTCGCGGTTATCTTTATCGAGCTACTCTACATCTTCAAGTCGCTCTGGGCGGACAAGTCGTCATACTACTACATGTTTGGGTTCCTCGCCATCGTTGCAGTGATCTTCTTCGTGACGGTTGTCGAGGTTGCGGTGGTGGCGACGTATCTGCTGCTGTGTAAGGAGGAGTGGAGGTGGTGGTGGAGGGCGTTTTCGGTGGGAGCCGGGAGCGCGGTGTGGGTCGCAATTTATTCGGCGTGGTATTGGGTTGCTGTGTTGGGGGTGCGGGGGTGGAGGAGTGCGGTTGTGTATTGGGGCTGGATGGGGTTGGGGTGTGTTGTTTGGGGGGTCATGTGGGGGACTGTGGGGGTCGTCGCGAGTTGGGTTTTCGTGGCGAGGATTTATAGGTGAGTTTGGATTCTGGAGCGGTGCGAGGGATGGAATATTGGATACGGGTTCGTGATGCTAATGCCTTCCATCATACAGGGCGATTAAAGCAGACTAGACCATCACGCTTTCTTTCTTCACGGTATCCGGTATCCAGGATTCGGTATCCAATATCATTTAGATCATGGATAGCGACTACCCTGATACCGCAGATGTTTTACTGACCCAAGTCCAAGTTCAAGTTCAAGTTCATGTTCCTGTTTAACCTGGCCATATCACCTAGATACTCTACATTGGTGGAGAGACAGAGAGATTGTAAAGGGGTAGGGAATAGATCGCATCGCATTTTTTGTCTCGTGTCTGGTGTTGCATTTGAGTGCATTGTGTTGTGTTGTGTTGTGTTGTACTTATTGTATGTACTTATTGTTCTATAGCGCATGTTATTGTATAGTATCCGAGTTTCGCGTTTTACCCCATTCGAGGGTTCGAGGGTTCAAGATTTCGAGGCTCAGAAAACTGGAGCATCCACCTTCGAGTTCGTCACTTGTCCCTGTGTACCGTATCATATCGTAGACACTTAACTTAAGAACGTGGATAATGTCATTGCGGACCAGTAACTCCACCCTCCACTCTCCACTCTCTGCTCTCCATCTTCCCTTCCTCTACTAGTACTCTATAACTCCAAGCTGTTGTAGTAGAGTACACTATCTACTTGGCGAAACAGCCAGAGAGTCCACTCCGAGTGCAATAACCACAATCATATGAAGGCCAGGACGCAGCGTGGTAGGGAACACGTCCGTAATGGTTGAATCGGGACTTGAACGTTGCTGGAGGGTGGGTTACCTCTCCATCAACCCCCGTGAAAGACGTCGGAGGGGGTATATATATTAGGTTTTATGCCCGTCGACATCACGGGGGCCATCCAGCGTCCTTTGTACTATTCTCCTTCTCGGAGAGCGAGATGATGACCGCCATATCATAGACGCGTGGAACGTAATACTGGAGAGACTGGCTGGATGGAAGTAAGAAGGTCAACCTGTAAGAATTGAACGATACTCGACAGAGCGAGCCTCTATAAATCTCGGGGGTGGAGAGAGGAAGATATCATGTAGACTAAGATATTAGTTTCCATCGCTCGACTCCCGCTGTGCGAGTCTCTCTCCCCTCACCGGTCCCGATATCGCCCAACAACCTCGTCTAGTTTACATATCCGGGTCTTCTACCCCACCAGAAAAAAAAAAATCATAATCCAGCGATGCGTCGGCTGGAAGTCCATCATGCATTGTCACCATTTTTTACACCCTACTGGCAGCGGGGGATCAAATACACCGATGAAGTCGGTTGTTCCTCCTCCGCATAATGAGGGGTGGTGGTAGTATAGTCAACGGCATCGGAAGAGCTTTATTCCCTGTCCCCCGTGCTCTAACTCCCCCATCAGCTCGTGATCTAAAGATCCAAACCTACATAAAATATCCCTCCTCTTGCCATTATACCCCTGTCATGGTAAAACGTACGGAGAGGGGGAGGGGAGGGGACGGGATGGAAGACTAATATATTCAAGTTTGTAATCTTGAACTCATTTGTACTTATGCTGTCTGCTCTCTGCTCTCCATTTCCGGTTATACTCTCCGTCGAAAAAGAAAAGCCAGGAAAAAAAAGTTGAAAAAAAAGGTCGAAAAATAGGTCCTGCTGGGGCTTGAACCCAGGATACGGGAATGTGAAATTTGCTGAAAGAGCAGAGATCAAAATCCCGTGTGCTAACCACTACACTACAGAACCTACAATTGACAATCTCTAAAAGCTAAAGATAAATCCGAAACCTGTGAACTAGTAGTAGGGATGTTTGTCGCGGAACCCAGGGCCACTCAGGCGATACTAAAATTCGAAGAAACGCTGGTGGGAAGACCAAAATCAGAGGACGAGGATAGAGCCGAAGAAGACCGGGTACATGAGGAATGGGGGTGGGAGGAAGAGTATGGAGTGGAGGAGGATATGAGCACATAGTAAAGCAAGAGAAGAAGAAACCGGCAGATGCAGGAGAGTCCAAGTGCACAGCAGTGTACAGCTCAAAAGGCGGCCACTGCAAAGGCAGCAAGGCCGGCGAGAGAATGGTTGAAAACGGATGAAACAGAGTTTTTTCGAGTAGATGCAGTACGGCACTGCGGAAAGGGGACGCTTTGTATGTTAGTTCTCGCGCCATATCCCAAAGGGACGCATGCGCTTAAATGATTACAAACAAACAAACAAAAATAGGGATGTTTGTGTCCGAAGAGAATTACGGCGCTCATTCGAGCATGCTTCGAAGTGGGCCATCACCCAGTCGCTTGGAAAAGGG